GTCGTGGCTTTTCCCGCCACTCAGGCCAGGCGGTTGAGGCGGCTGCTAGCATGCTGCGCAAGCTTACTGTCGACCAGATCAACGACTGGTTCACCATCGGCAAGACGGTGACCAATGTGGAGCTCCTGGGCTCGCCGCCCACCATCCCAGCTGAGGCGGCCCGGGAGGAGACGCAGGGCAAGGACTCGACCCCTTCCCCCGCTTCCGCTTCCTCCCCGCTGGGCCGCAGGAGGTGGGCAGGGTGTTGTGGGGGGGTGCCCTGGGAGGTGTGTGCCAGCTGCCCACCGAGCATAGTGATTACATTCATAGCAGGGAGTTCATACCTTACATAGCCATCTCAGTTCTTTTGACTTCCCCTCACTTTTCTGTTTCTTCATGTTGACATATGGAGAAGAACTTGGCAGCCGTCGTGTGTTGTTTCCAGTGTTCGCCAGGTTGTGCTGGGGCTCCAGTGGGGTCATACTCCGTGCCTCAGCTGTGGTGGGAGCCACACATCCCTCCCGTTGTCGTCCTGCTGGTGCTGCTTCCTGCCTTCATGCCTCTTATTAACTCCTGGATCGTGACGCTCTCGTTGAATTCTCACTTTTCGTGTCTCTGACTGAACACCTTAAAATGTGGTTTGTTGCACAGCGCTTCCCCATGGAGAGCTTTCACATTCCCAGTGCCTGATGTTTGCTTTCACCCAGTTTCTTTTTTTTCCTTCTTGACATGTCTTCTGTAAGCAGCATTGCTGGACATAGTATAGGGTGGCATTCCTCCCAGCAGACAGGGACGCTTCACTTTGCACTCGAGGCAGTCAAGGAATAGAGAAGTTAAGCTGACCTTGTTCCAGTCTGCATGTCTTTGAGAATGTTAAGTTTTGCCATGTTGTCTTTGAGTATTTAGGCTTCACACGGATGTTAGCCTGGCTCTGTTGGCCTCGGAGGATTTCTGTTTTCTAGTCACCATGGCTGTAGTTTGGATCTTACATGTCCCCGTAGGGCATGTGTTGAATGAAAGCTTGGTGCCCATGGCATGCTATTGGGAGATGGTGGAACCGTTGAGAGGTGACCCACAGGAGGTCCTTGGGGCTGTGACCTTGAAAGGGATCACAGGACACAGCATGCCACCTTCTTCCTGGCTGTGAGCTGAATGGTCCTCCTCTCCATGTGTTTCTACCGTGGTGTACTGCCTCGCTACAGGCCTGTAGTAATGGGGTTGATCAATTGTGGACTGGAACCTCGGAAACTGTGAGCCAAAATACACCTTTTTTAAAGTAATTATTCAAGTATTTTGTTACAGTGGTGGAAAGCTAACACACCCACAAAGTTCATGTTTTTTTAAAGACCTTTTTGTCTGTTTAACAAATTCAATTTATTAAATAATTTTCCCACTGGTTAAAAAGTATTGCTGCCAGGGATATGGCTCAGCGGCACAGCACCTACCTGGGAAGCATGAGGTCCTGAGTTGGATCCCTGGTACAAAAAATTTAAAAATTGCAGAAAAAAATTGTATTTCTCCTTTGTCTTCCATGTATAGCAGGAGTAGAGTCATTGGGGAAGGTACTAGATGAGACCAGAGAGATGAGTCATAGTTTAAGTGTCCTGAGAATTTTGCTTTGTTACTTTGTTTTTGGCAGAAAGGAGCCACTGGAGAAGGCTTTAGGGTTTTAAGTTGAGCCATGATGTGGCATGACACCTGGCTCTACAGGATGACTGCTGTGTGATTGAAGGGGGCTATGGGTAGAAACAGGGAGATCAGAGTTGATACCATAATGATGGCTAGTTTATATGTTACCATGGCAGCAGCATGGTACCGAGACACGGGGTGAAATGTTACTCTAAATACTCCTGTGAAGGTGCTTTGAATGAGATTGACGGGAGTTAATGGACTTTGAGTAAAGCAGATTACCCTGCATTGTGAGTGGGCCTTGTCCAATCATCAGAAGACCTAAATATAGCACGACCAGCCCCCTCTTGAGCAATAGCTCTGCAGCTCTCTTCTGGGTGTCCAGCCTTCCAGCCTGCCCCACACCTTTGGACTTGGCGCTGTTACAATTGTGTGAGCTATTAAAATAAGCCTCTGTCGGTGGCTTGTGGGTTCTGTTTGTCTGGAGAGCTTTGACCAGCACATCATCCAGACAAGAGACAGGATGATGGCTTAGACCAAGAAGGGAGTGGAGTAGTAAGCAGTGGCTGCGTTTGGGGTATGTACTTAAGATAAAAGCAAGGACGTTGTTGTTGGATCAGATGCAGGATGTGTGCAGGGGAAGTGATCACAGATGATAGGAAGATTTCTGGCTGAGCACTGGTAGCTGTGGCCATCAGTGAGGAAGGCAAGGCTGCAGGAGGGCTGAGTATGGTGGTGCTTGTCATAATCCCACTGAGGCAGGAGGGTCAGTCTGGAGTTGAAGAAAACAGTCTGTCTGGAACTAGATGTGGGGTTTGAAGTTACCTTTCACTGGGCACTTAACAGATCCGCGACTGTTTGCTTCTGCCAAAGGGAACAGTATTACTGACTTCCAAGGTTAGGATTAAATGAGTCTGTACATATGCCTGGTAAGTAGAAAAATTATTTTGACGTTAATTGGATGGGCTAGTTAGTAGTGCTGACAGCCTGTTGTGTCAGGTAATATGCAGAATGCTTTACCTGAATTTATTTAGTACTTACTTTCTTACAACATTTTTAGCTACTGTGCTCACACTTCCTCTTGTCCCTGAGGCATTCCCAGTAATCCTCCCCGTTTTTACTCTTTATGTTTTTGACCCAGATTCCTTTGCCATCTTTAGGTATTATAAATGGCCCAGTGTATAAAAACTTGGATCTTTAATATTCAGGAACTTGTTTTAAAGTTTCTATTTGATTTGTTGATTTTCTAGAAACAGCTATATTTTTAAACTTTCTAAACTAAAACTTTTTTAAGAAACATGTTTTTAGGTTCTTAGCAACAACAAAGTGAGAGGGAGAGACTCAACACAGGGTGCTCTTCTGTCCCCTTTTAAAGTTGGGTGTGACTCAGGGCGGGACGTGCATTCTCATCCTGGTTGACAGAGACACCACTATCTACTTCAGGCACCACTGGCTGCTTCTTCAGTCACAGTGAGCTTCCTGTTTGTTTATTTTTTATTTTTATTTTTTGGTACCAGGGATTGAACTTGGCACCTTATGCTTGCAAAGCAGGCGGCAAAATCACTGAGCTAAATCCCCAGCCCCCTATTTAATTTTGAGCTGAGGTCTCACTACCAGGCTGGCTTTAAGTTCCTGAGTTCAGGTGGTTCACCAGCTTCACCTTCCCAAGGACCTGGCATTGTGGTGAGCTTTTTGGAAAAAGCATCTTTTTCCTGTTTGAGCATGGAGCATTGCCCTGTCCAGGAAGTGCTGGCCAAGGTGTGTGAAGGGAGAATGCAAGCTGTGGGCACCTTCAGGGTACCTCGTTCCTGATGGAGCAAGAAGCATCCAGCTTTAGTGCTGGGTTTCAAAGGCAAACTCAAAGTTTTTTTTTTTTAAACAAAATTTTGAAGACAATGATTTTTTAAAAAAAATTTGGGCTGGCAATTTAGCTCAGTGGCACTGTGCCTGCCTCACAAGCACAAGGTCCTGAGTTTGATCCCTGGTACCAAAAAATCCCCAAACAAAAGAACTCATGTTTTCTATTTTCACTACACAAGAAGCAGTTGTGTGCTTTTGCGACATTTACCTCCCACAAAAAAAACCACAAATAGTTTCTGCTCTAAGCAATCTTGCTGTGATTGAAGAAGCCCAAGCTAGTCAGGTCATGAAAACAGAACAGAAAATGAACAGCAGTGAGAAGTGTCTTTATTTTAGATGTACTTAGGATCGTGCTTCTATTTTCCTTGTTTTATGAAGCTTGGGCAGATGGACACTATTTATTACATGACTGATATTTAAAAACAGATTGAGAACAGTTGAAATTGGTATAGAACAGTGGTAGCAAACCTATGACACTTATGTCTCATCGAGCTCTTTGTATCATTGAAAGCTCTATGAGGTTCACTATCACTGGTATAGAAGTAGTTGTCCAGGAGTGTAAGGAGAAAAGAGAAGTAGGTTTTAAAAAAGCTCACTTTTGGTTCTGATCTTAATCTTTTTTTCTTGAAGATGAAAGGAAACCAAAATCTAAACATGCAAAGTTATAGATACCTGGAAGGTACACAAAAAGTCTTTGGTCTCACCTTTATTAAGAATGTTAAAAGATTCTTAGCCAGGTGTGGTGGAGCACACCTGTAATCCTAGCACTCAGGGGGCTGAGGCAGGAGGATCACCATGAGTTTGAAGGCAACCTGGGCTACATACTGAGTTCAAGGCCAGCCTGAACTATATAGTGAGCCCTTGTCTCAAAAATCAACCAAACAAACAGAAAAGGTAAAGATTCTAGTCTATCAAAACTTATAAACCTAAGCCGGGGATTTAGCTCAGTGGTTTGGTGGCCTGCCTTGCAAGCGCAAGGACCCGAGTTCAATCCCCGGTACCAAAAAAAAAAAAACCAAAAACTTACAAACCTAATATATAGTTTATTTCTTTAATGAGGTTATGAAAGGATGAGTGTATATATGAAGTATTTTACATAAGCAAAGTATAGATTTAAATTATGTCAGCATTGAATATTTTTATTTTAAAAAAATGAATGAATTAATTAATTTACTTATTTATATTTTGAGATAGAATCTTACTGTATAGCCCAGGCTGGTCTCAAACTCATGGTCCTACTGCCTCAGCCTCTCAAGTGCTAGGATTGTAGGCATGTGCCACAGTGCTTGGCAAAATTTACATCAAGCATTTATTCTATACATAGTTTTATAGAGTCAAAGTCAAGATTAAGTTTCACACAGAATTTGTCAAACTTCATACTAAATTGCCTTAGTGAGGTGTTTGAGGCATAAAAAATACTGCACATATTTTTTTTCAAAATATTTAGGAAACAATTAAAAACATACTGTTAAATGGAACATTACATATTTAGTGTTTTTTTTTTTTTTTGGTACTGTGCATGGAATTCGGGTCTTTGCGCTTGTGAGGCAGGGGGTGGAACCACTGAGCTAAATCCCTGGCCCAACATTGCGTATTTAGAATGGTTATGAAAAGACTACTGTTTAAAACAGGGTACATCCATACAACAAAATTGAAGCCACATTTTTTTGTATTTGTAATAAGAGCTCTACTTCTAAGGTGGTCATAAAAATTGCTGGTTACAGATGCCTTGCTAACTTGATGGATAATAATATGGTAGGTTCCATATTCTGTGTGAGCATGATGGGAACCTGTTTTGTGTGTTTTTGTCGACATAACTAGAAATGGTGGGTATTTCATCTTTTCCTGAACTTTGGGCATGGTCACCTGGGAGTACAGAGGGAGGGTGACAGCCCGGTTCCTGGCTCTCCTGCAGGCTCTCTCCATGACTCCCGCTGTCCAGGCTGCTGAGGAAGTCTCTCAGAACTTGCTTGAAGATGTAGACTATTTCCCATGGCAGTACATCATTTTCAGCCAAAACTTCTCGAAATCTGGGGAATGAATAGTCAACTCAGGAAAGTTTTTGGTGTATCCCTTCATCTCCAAAATACAGCTTATGTAACATAGTTGTGTGCTAGTTACCCACCCTTTGAGTAATTTGCATATGGCTTTAATATTATGTGTCTAGTTAAGTTTTGATTGTAATTTTAAAAATTTCTTACCAGTGAGATATACATAGCTATTTTGGTCCATTTTATCTCTAGTGATTTTGGTAACTTGGTATTTGGTACACATGATTAAAGAATTTACATAATAGATTACAGTTTGCAGTCTAACTATGTGAAGAAGTTGGACTTGGCAGTAGCTCATAACCTAAGAAAGAACATAGTATTTTTACCTGCTGAGAATGGTTCCAGTTTGGAAAGGTTGAACTTGTGAGCAAAGAATTTCAAGTTGTCTTTGTTCAGTAGCTGGAATAGTTGTGTGGGGATTCTGGTAGTTTCTCAGCCAGTTGTAATCCACACCTGTTTTTCTTACTTTTTGTTCATTTTCGATTTCTTGTATTAATCTCTCTCGCTCCTTTAGATGCCATTTTAGTTCCCGAAGCAAAGTCTTTGTCACTACATCTGAGCCGGCATAGTGTGTGGGTTTGTAGGAATCACTTTTTGACCATTTCATCCAGCCAAAAAGTGGCATGTTTAGCCTGTAGAAATATTCCCACTTGTCTATTTGAATATCATTTTATGATTATGATGAGCAAATTTTTTTTATTTAAAATAAGATTGCCAGAAAAGGGCATGAATTTTTCACTAGTTAGATATGCAGGTCAATATAAGATTAGAACATGGATTAAAGTCTTTTCATTTCTAACTAGGTCAGTGTCAGAAACCAAGCTTTGAAAATATTTTTATATTGCTAAACCAATTAAATACATAAAGTCAGGGTTAATCTACAAACTGAACAATTTCTGAAAATAACACTTGTTATTAAAATTCTTAGGAAACTTTAAAATATGCATTAATGCATTGGAAAGTACCATTTCCAGACACTTGATTTATGCTTTGTACAGAAAAGGCTTAGCGCTTACCTGCCAAGTTGATGAGTCTGTTGTGGGGCTGTTGGCAGAGTTGACTCGGACTGGGGATGAGCCTGTGTTTACTCAGGCATCTCTCTTTCTCCTGGATGTGTTCTCTGTTGAAGGAAGGAGCCTCCCGATTTACCCACTGAAACTATATTTGAAATAAACAACTTTCTATGTTAGGAATGAGGTTGTGATGTCTTCATTTGGAGAGAATGCTCATTAATTCACCTTGTAAGTAAGCTAGAAGAAATGACAAAAATAACTTACTATCGAATCTTCACAAATTAAATAATGGTCTACCTTCTAAACATGCTCATTCTGTCTGGAAAAGATGCTGGCAGTGATGGATGCTGGTCCCAAGCACATTGGACATGTCTTTGGTAATGAAATGAAGAACAGCCGCAGAAGCATCACAGATGCTCTCCTGACTAAAGTGGAGACTGTCTCATGACGTAGTGCATTGCTGAGCATAGCTGTAGGTCACAGTTTAGTGCTGTATTTTTATGCCTGTAGAGCTCTAAAAATAACCATGTTGCTTTTATTCTTCAGCTTAACTTCCAGGCCATTTCGAAGCCAGGTCACTGTCCCCTCTAATGAAAACAGGAAAAATAGATCAGACTTGACTGTGTGCAAAATACACACTCTGAGGAAGAGTGTTGTAATTGAGCAAAATAGGAAAGCATGCTGACATTGTCATGTGTGAATATTTAGCAAATCCAACATTCTGTATTCATTTTTCTTGCAAAACAGTACATTTATATGAGTGTTGAAGTGCTAGAGGACATCATAAAGACTTTAAAATGCACTTGGTAATCTCTAGATCCATGGTGTTAAGGCAGTTATGGATTATCAGGAAAAAAGATGTAGAAACAAATTTCAAAACATAATTCACTGTAGACAGCATGTTAGCATTTTGTCTTGGAGCTGCAGATGAACACTGATGCTGTGTTTAGGTGAGTGCTGACATGCAGTGGTCTTTATTATGCTAGTTTCCCATTGAAGAATTTTTCTTGTTATATAGCAGGCCAAGTCTGGTCTGTTTTCATTAGAGTGTACAGGATCCTTTACTCTGGCTCTATGTTAAGTGATTCACTGGTGTTTTCCTTTATAATATTTGGTTTTTCTCTTGCTTTTCCTTCCAATGACCCATGAAGAAGGGATGTTCATGTTAGACCTGTGTGCCATGTGCAATCAAGAGTGACGTGGTCATCCTGTAGCCCCTGTTATTAATGTGCTGGAAAAAGACATCATGATTCATTATCTTCAACTACAAGGTTTTCACATTAGATTGCATATAATACTAGGAGAAGAAAATGAATAGATTTTATCATGACAGAAAGGTCCTACCATTACTGAAAGTGACTGTCACCACTTCTTCATTTGAATAACCTTATTGCTTAAAAACTTTTTTTTGCCCTAAACTGTTAACAAAAACTACTGGAGTGTGTTGAATATGAAACATAAACCAAATTCCCTTCAATGCCCTCTTCAGTCTGAATTATCATGCCTTCTTGCCTAGTTTTTCCTCTTGTACCTCCCCAGGGCCCCGTTTAACTTTCCATTTTGCAATACTCACTTTGGACCCCTCAGCTTTGATTACACTGATCTTCTCAAAGGCTTATGCTTTCTGTCTTCCATGTAGCCGCATTGTAATTCTCCTTTTCAGGTCCAGTTCACATGCCAACTCACATTTCAGTTCACCCACATTCTTTCCCTGGCCCTATTCTTCCCCTGAATGCTGTTCTAGACCCCTTTTTTTCCTCATGCTGTCTGATTCATTGCTCCTTTACTGTAACTGCTGGCATCCAGTTGCTTGCAGATGTTCCTTGGCTCGTTACCATGGGCTGGAGGACTGGGGCTGTGGATGTGGCAGTGAGCTGGGCAGCTGTAGCTCCTGATTGAAGGGGCCTTCTAAGGACGTGAGCAAGGTGATCCCAGATTACCACGTGCTACTTAACACATTTGATGTGGCTCCCCACTTAGATCTGGAGGACAGGAAGGCTTTCTAGATGGGCAGGTGTCCTCTGGGCAGGGGTAGACAGGTCAGTGACTAGTCACTGAGACGGCTTCTTGGAGACCATCTCCCTTGCCATGCTACTGGACTCAATGGACACCTGTCTGCCATCGAGACCCTTGCCCACATTGGACCTCCAAAGAACTTTTCTTACTACTTCATGCCTTCCTTTGAACTTATTTGCATGAAACAGCTTTTCTAGTACTTGGTTATGCTACTTGTATTGTTCCACATTTTACTTTTTCTCTTTATCCTGAAATTGTTAGGTTAAAGCAGAGACCAAATTTCTATATAGTACTTCCTTTACTACTGTATAGAAAAAGAGCATAGGTAGTGTTTGTAAATCAAGATAAGGGGGTACATTTTATTAATTTTTCCTCTTTATTAGGGTAAAAACAGATTAACATTAGATTTTCTTTATCAAATATTTTAGTAAGTTCAATAAATGAATTATTTGTAATGATTTACAACCTTATTAGGATTTTTGTGTGGAAGACATAAAGTTTAAACTATTAAACAGGTCATTTTTGTTTTGGTGGTTGTGGTGGCATTCTAGGCTATATGATGGAAGCAGCTGAGTGTCCCTTGATAGGCAAATGGACATGCAGCATTTCAGTGTCCATGCAGTGGAATATTGGGGCCTTACAAAGGAAGGACATTTGATACGCTACAACATAGTTGAAACTTGAGAATGTAATGCTAAATGGAATAAGGCAGTCATGAAAAATTATGATTCCACTTCTGTGAAGTAGGGTTTTAGTTACAATCATGGAAACAGGGCGTGGAATGGGGTTGCTGGCAGCAGGTGTGAAGGGAAATGGAGAGGTGTTGTTTAGTGGGCATAGGATCCTGGTTTTACAAGACGACAGGAATTGTGGAGATGGATGGGGTGCAGTTGGACAGCATTACAAATGTATTTAATAACATTGAGCTGTGCACTTGAAAATGTCTATAAGGGTAAATTTTTGTACTCACAACAAAAAATTGAAAAAAAGATACAGTTAATATTTGAAGAGAAACCATGAAGTTATATGTGTGTATACACACATATACACACACACACACACACACACATTTTTTTTTACTATGGGTTGAACTTGGGTTCTTGTGCTTGTGAAGCCAGCAGCGGAACCACGGGGCTAAATCCCTGGCCCTAAATTATGTTTTTTTCAGTATTACTTCCTCCTTAAAATATTTTGCTTCAAATATCAATACATTTACTTTTGGAAGAAGTTAAAAGTCACATTCCTGCAGAGTTGTCTATATTTCCTGATTTATAGGAATTCTTAACATAGTGTTTTGTTATATGTAGGTAGATATATGACCACTCTTACTGTCTTTTAAACTTCATAGAAACATTGGCCATAAGTTTTAAATTTTGATATGGTTAAATTCATTTGTATTTTTCTTTTTCATATTCTCATTTAAGAAGGGCTTACCTACTCCAAAATTATAAATACAGAAGAATATTAGCTTTATAGGCTTAAAAAAGGAAGCCTCTGGGTGTTTAGTTGATTAGAGATTGGTATGAGGATAGGGTTCAGATTGTTTTGGTCCCCAGACAGGATAAATAATATGCAAAGTAAATGGTCATTGCCCTTCCCAGAAGAATTTCCCAAATCTTCATGTGCCAAGGGACTTTGATGTGTATCCTGTTTAGAATGTTCTATGATGGAACTCTGGCTCCTGTCTAGATCTGTGGGATTGCAGCCAGCCCAGATGTGATCAGGATCATAGTTCCAGCCTCGGGCTGGTTCTCAGCACCAGTACTGTACAGTCTTTCTCTGTCCTATATGTGTCCCCTTCGCCATTCTGTCTGCAGCTCTGTTCTGAGTCTGATGGCTTGAGGATCAGTCCATGCTGAGCAGCGCTGAGATGAGCCCAGCACTTCACAGCCTGGGCTGTTTCCTATAAGCTCTTCCCTTCCTGCAGCTGTCTGTCCCACTGCACCTTGGGCTAAGCAGTGAGAGGGCTGGGAAAGGTGGGCAGGGTTTTCTCACCTCTGGGACCATAGCTCCTCCTGCTGGGCCCCTGGGGCACTGCTGCTGCTTTTGCCACTACTACAGTACTACTTATGGGCTGGGGCATAAGAGATGGAGAAGAAAAATAGGAACATTGGAGGTCATCTTGATTTCAGGTTCTCAGCAGCCTCCTTGCAGCCCTTGGTGCAGAGCTAGAGAATTCTCCTGGCTCTCTGCCTGGCCAGTGACCTTGCTCAGGGGTGACTGCAGCCAGAAGAAATAAATGGCAAACTCCCCTAGCCTGGTGGGATGTGGCTACCTGGCCCTCTTCCCCAGTCTGCCTGCTGCTGCTTATTCTCTAGAGCCCTCAGATAGGTGCCCATGTGCTCTGTCCAGAGAACAGAGTGCTTATGTCATCCTACCTAAAATGGGTGCCTCCAATCATTGTTGACTTCCCTTTGTTTTTCACTCCTCACTCTAATATGTCAGTGTGTGCTGTGCTGCCTAGTGTCTCAGAGGACTGTTCCCGAAGCTTGCTGTGGTGCTCTTGCCCTCACTGCAGCTGCCCTGCTGACTCCTGCTGACCTTTTCCCCTACGCTCTTATTGAACGTAGTTTGTTTTACTTAATTCTCTTTCCCCAGCTGGACTAAGCTCCACAAGGGAAGTCTGTACTGATGACTGCTCCATCTCCAGTGCTAGCAAGAGTGTCAGACATGGAGTCAGACCACAGTTATTTGCTGAGTGAATTAGTGAGCAATTATCGGGCCAGCAGAATGTTGATGCAACTATTAGTATCAACCAAAAATAGACTCTAATTTTATTAAAGTTACTAAGCAGGGTTCTCCAGGAAGATGGAGCCATGAGATTACTATTAGAATATGCTCCCAAGATTATGGAGACCAAGAAGTCTCACAATGAAGTGCATTCAAGTCAAGGAGCCAGAACAGCCAGGGGTGTAATTCAGCTGGAGTTTGAAGGCCTGCGAATTTTCCTATCACGGAGACACAAAAACGAACACACACAGTTTAAAGGAGGGAGATTTAATTTGGCTCCTGATGTCAGGGGATTCAGTATGGGTCAGCTGGCTCCAAGGCAGAGCCATCATGGTGGAAGGGTGTGCCCGAGCAAAGTTCATGGTGAATGGGAAGCAGGGCAGGGGAATAGCTCCAGAGAAGAGGAGGCCGAGGCCACAAGTACCCAAAGCCATGCCTCCCTGACCCACCAGACTCACCTGGAAATGTGCTTTACTAATCCCTAGATTGCTCTCAAGCCAATCAAGTTGGCACAATTAAGCTTAATGACCATGGTCCTCAAGTATATAGTGTCTTCTCACCCAAATCGGTGAGGGTGTGTCTTTACTTAGTCTGTTGGTTCAAATGCTAATCTCTTGCGGAAATACCCTCACAAGGCAAAGCTG